GGGGGGGGGGGGGGGGAGGGCGGGCGACAATAGGGGATTTGAATTTTTGTTGAAATATTTTGTCAAATATCCCGTATTTCAGAAATCCGCACTGGTCAAACTCATCAAAATACCCCGGTTATTTTTTTCCTTCCTGTTCAAATACCCCACATCAATGTATCCTGTTTATTAGTAGAAGGGAGAGTATATATAAATTAGCACGTTTGTTTACAATTTTTCGCGGTAAAACACCAAATTTTTAAACATGTCAGTTCTTCCAATGAATTTGCCACAACACTAACATTCTTAGAATGATTTGCATTCCACAATTTAAATGGTTTCATCAAAAAGCAAAAATTGACTTTTGAATGTTTTCAAACAATTAATAATTCATGAGAAATCGTGTTTTTGCGTACCTTTGCTGTTTCCGCCATCTTTGAAAACCTCAACACCTCGTGAGAAGATTTGGTGACCAGGCCTTTTTGTCAAAAAAAGTGATCAAATGTCCCTTATTAAATGTACTCTGTGATCACAGCGTGTTATCAAATGTCCCCAAACTCGGGCAAACATCACTCAGCAAATGCCCGACATTGGGGATGGCATCCTTTGTCAAGCCCCCTAATGTCGCCCCCCCTCCCCCCCCCTCGGGCTTAACATTGATAGGTGCATTATCACTATCATCAAATACCAGAACATTTGAATTATCTTCAAGCCAAGGATCATTGAAACTAATGCCTTCTTCTCTATAAAGGTTACCATTATTCACAAGCCATTTAGCAGCTTCTGCTACTTTTTTTGGTCTTACATTAAGTGACAAAGCTGAACTTTTGTATTGTAATCTTCTCTTAAGGTTAATTTTAATGGTCCCAGTTTCATTTTGTAAACTTGGCAACATGCTGACTATATTTAGCAACATCTGTAGGAACATTAACAATGTTTCCATTGATTTTAAATTGTTTACCAACAATGTTTCCATTGATTTTAAATTGTTTACCTCTAGGGGCCTGCATTAACTTTTGAAACGCAAGTCTTGGAGCAAGCAATTTACATTCCAATTCATAAAAATAAAAAAACGAAGGCTTTGCTGGAAATTGCATGCCATTTATGGCAGCACAGGGAGGCAACTTATTGTTTCTTAAGTGCTTATTACATGTTTTACATAACCATTCAATATTTTCAGCACTTGTTTTATTTAAAAGTTGTTTTTGAACATGAAGATTATTTATTTTGTAAAAACAAGTGTAAAACACATTTCCTTGTAATTACGAGCCATCTTGTTTAATAGATGACTTGGGAGCAGATGTAGCAAAATAATGCTTCAAAAATGGTCTAGTTTTTCTCTTTCTCATAGCTAATATGATTCTCTTAAAAGGTATTCTAGAAGGTTCACGGTCTCTAGGTCGTTTGGTATTTGGTTGTTTACTCAATCTCCCTACAGACAACCTGTAACTATGTGCACACTGATCTGAACACGAATTACTATATCTACAGTTATTAAAGACACACTGGTGAAGTACAGCATGTTTTATAGTTACTCGTTGAAGCTCATTTACAGGAAACTGAATCTTTTTCCAGAGAGCCTTATTTTGCTTTACGAAAAGTGGTGTGATAGTCCTCCGAAGAGGTTTATTTTCCCTCCGAAGAGGTTTATTTTCTCTCCGAAGAGGTTGATTTGCCCTCCAAAGAGGTTGATTTGCCCTCCGTAGAGGTTGATTTGCCCTCCGAAGAAGTACTACAGAGGCATTCATGTAAATAAATACTTACAAATCAGGATAGGTTTCCAACTAGAATAGGCACGAAATCAGGATAATTTTCCGAGTGACAAAACAGTAGATATCGGTCGGCAACATGGTTTCACTGTGGTTTCACACACTCGGAAGTTCTCTGTATTTTTCGGATATGTTTTTGAAATTTCCTTAAACTGAGGACATTTTGACTTTTTGGTTCAGTAGTTTGCCCCAAGGGCACGGCTTTGACAGCCCACGACTTTTTGATAATAGAATAGAAATATGTTTTAAAAAGGTGAGTTAAATATATTAGTTTGTTTTTATATTGAAACAAGAATAATAATAAAGAGCATTTTCTTCTACGATATAAAACGAGGGTTAAAACAGTTTAAATATAAATATGACTAAATTTTATACTGTTGTTCATTCAATATAACCACTGACTGGTGTTGAAACTTTTTTGGAGCAGTTCCTTCAGATTCATAATCAGAAAATTCAGAATCCGCCATTTTCTGATTTTCTTTGTATTGAAAGAAAGACAGAAAGAGACACAGAAAAGGTCAACTCACCCCAAAAAACCATGTGTCTCTATTACAGAAGAAACCCACTTTCATCAATCATGAATGTGGAAATAATAAATATCTATTATTTCCACAATGATGATTGATGAAAGTGGTTTTTTTGAAAAATAGGGAGTGAACTAGTGACAATATGCACACAAAAAATGATGCTGAACAAAAATGAACACAACAGCATGAAAACAACCCAAACAACAGAAATCTATTAAAATGTGAATGACAACAATTTAACAAGGATTAACCAAACTTTATAAATCAATAAAGTCATTGAACTATGAAAATTAATGTAACTATATCATGCAATGTTAACTCAACTTAGCTCTCATACTATTACATACAATATGAATTGTTTTATATACTACAGTATAACACCTGTTCGTAGAAATGGTTAGTTTAAGTTTGACTTGGTCTTTGGCAAGAACTGTGGCAGATTGTCTTGGCAGGATTGTCAGCCAGAATCGTTTGTGAACCAGCGTTGAGTAATGCAAGAGTTAACTCCTCATCTTCCATATCTTCAATCTTTTTATCACCAATGTTGCAGCAAAAACTCGGCATTATTGCATCATTGAAGGCAGTATAAACTTGAATTTGATTATCAACCTGCATAAGAAGTTGGCATACAAGCTTCGTCTTTATAGAGCTTTTTAGCATGGTAATTTTGCAGTTAGGGCATTTAATAATTTTTGCAGTTAGGTCCAATCCCTCAAGCGTTTTATTGCAGAAGATACAAGAGCTGCTTTTTTTCATATCAACACCCACACATTCACCAGTGATAAGATTGTCTTGCAGATCTGGTGTGTCAAGCATGAAATTGGTGATCTCTTCAATTTCTGTTATCTTTGTGTCTTCATTAGTGTTGACATATTTGCAGTCATCAAAAACACAAATCTTGCAGCTTTCTATGTGATAACTCTTTCCAGTTTCAATCTTTTCGATAGTATTCTCCCATAGAACCAATTTAATTGAACCTGTTTCATCTGCTACAATGGTGTCAACTGTGTGTGTGATCAGCCTGCAACCACCTGGAGAAAATAGGGTAGCACGGTCAATAGGAAAAAATAATAGGGTCAGCAGAAAAAAATAGGGTCGGTCGGGAACCGGAACACCACAGGTATTTTTTTTTAAGCCTGATCAATCGTTTATTATGTCTGAGGAAGGGGTGGTGGTTTTTCTTTAAAATCTATCAATAAAATATCCCCCATATAATTGTTATAACTCAAGATTAAATATTCCCCCCCCCTTTCCAAAAAAAATTGGAATGTCAATAGACATAAAACATTTCAATGTGAGCCCTGGTTATGAGGAAGTGCCAATTGAAAAATTGGGCATTAGTTTATCACTGTTAAACTATTTCTCTATCCGCGTTCCCAGTGCTCGGCTGCCTGCATTGCCATAAGCCCTGGGACAAGCTGAAACTGGAAGAGTGATTTGATTGGTCACTGGATAATCAATGGGCAAATTGAATGCAAGAAAAGAACGGATGAGCAATTCAAAATTTAACCTCCCTTTCCCTTCAGGAACTATCCACCTAAAATTGCCATCTAAAAAACCCCCCCCCCAAAAAAAAAAACCAAAAAAAACCCCACTACCTCTCCCTGAGATGTAACAAATGATCAATCCCCAATGCATTACAGTAATACCCAGTAAAATACTTACAGTTAGTTAAAGTGGAGTTGCCTTCCTCTTGAGAGCTGTTGTTTAAAAAGACATGAGAGTTAAAATTGTAAATATATTCAGTGCTGGGTTATATTTATTAACAATAAAATGGAATTAAGCCAAAAATAAAAAGTTACAGTAGCATAATAAATCAAACAACTTCATACCTAGTAGCTGAAGCAGATGATTGTGATCCTGATGATGACCAAGTTTGAGACATATTTTCTTGTTTAATTTAAATGAAACTGAGAAATATAGAAGAAAAATAGGTGATTTGTGATTACTTAATTTGAAAACAAAATTGATAACTACCAAAGTACTGATGCTCAGGGGCGGATCTAGGGGTCGTCAAACCAGTCACGCGACTAACGTAAAAATTGCAAACTTAATTAAAGTCGTAAATATTCGACCAATAGTCCAGTTATTTTTTATCATGCAGCGCTAGCAATTAACATTCTAATCGAACTGTAGTCCAGTGATCAAATTTCATACAGTGGTTGAGCCGACAAGCTTAGTCAAGTCAATGAGCAGGTGACATACGCAAAGTCGGTCAGTCAAAAAGTCAAAATCCAGTGTTTTGATTGGTCTAGACGCTTATTGCCATGGTAACAAGCGACTTTTTGCGATTTTGACTGATCTGTGGGGAGTTCTGACCGATTTACAAAAGTCAGGGGCGCTCCATTAGTCTGAATATCATTAACATTTGATGCGTGGTAAAGTCTTTCCGAGCGCGCGCTCATTCGAAGTGTCATGTTGTAGCTTTGTCGAAAGATTCAATTTAAAGATATCTACGGTAAATTTGGAAATGTCTGCTGCTCCACACTCCAGTCCTTGTTAGTATTCACGAAACGGTTCAATCCGCATTTGCGGTGAATGATTTAGCTGTCTTACAAGACTGTTGCGCTGATCTTGGAAGGAAAATCAACGCTAAATATCGGAGAGTTCCATTCAGTGAGCAGTTGCTAAGCGGCGTAAGCGCCACGAATAGCACGAACTACAGTTTGACTGTTTGAGTAGAAGTATTGGCGCCGAGATCTTTATTCTGAAGTGCAATAAGGTAGATTTAATGTGATATGTAAATTCTATTTTGTTTTAGACAGCATAACAATATTTATAAGCGAACAAGATGCGCGCTATGCATATGTAAAATTGTAACTTGAATACGTGTATCTTGATTTAGATTCAGCTATGAATTTTGATTTGCACAACAAATTTGCATATTTGTAATTCTGCGGTTGAATTAAAAGGTCCGTCAGAACTCAGAAGGCTATTAATATGGAGGATATATAACCTATATAAATGCATTAATGCAGTGTACATAGGATATAAAGGTCAGGTTTTATAGATGAATGCTAAGACTTTAATATTGATATGTTTATTTGAGTAATATGACACTGTAGTGATTACTAGTCAAGTGATCAATGACTCAAAAAGGCTATTAGGCAACAAAAATGAGTGTAGTACTATCATGAGATAGTTAAACATAGTACTTGCAATCCGTAATTTGATAAAATGAAACATCCTCCACAATTATCACATTTCTGCAAGTACTTCTCCTTTACTTTTCCCTAAGGAACGAGTTGTGAGAGTCAGTCAGACTGATAGTTGCTATAATTATCTCCCATTTCATGAAGTTAATTTTTTGTTGAAGCTGCTTTCAGAGTGATGCAAATTGCGTTTCGGAGGTTTAATTGGGGGACAGACCCCCCTAGGTGCCTAGCGCATTCGCCGCACGCAAAACTAGATTGTACGTCCGAAAACTTTGACTAACGTATGAAAAATCCTGGATCCGCCCCTGCTGATGCTACTGATTTATAAATCTAAAATATATATATTTTTAGATCAGTATTGTCTAAAATGGTATCTGGTGTGATCTGCTGCCTATAGTTTATATTTGTCAGTCCATGGTTGATGGTAACATTAATAATACAGTCCCCAATATTAACACATGCAATTGAAGTGAATATTGTTCCCAAAAAAGTCTTCATGCTGCTCGAAAGAAATTATTGAACTGGAAGAAAACGACGCTCCAATCGCCCAAATTCAAGTCGTCAAGTATAGTGATATTTAAAACTTCTTTATTGATCTGCAGATTGTCAACAATTCATAGGAAAATTTCCCCCAAAACATTCTAAAAAAATTCCTAAGACTGCGTCTTTTTGCTTATACAAAAGAACATGAGGTCATGGTAAAAAATTTCATATTTTACTCACCAACAAACCGTTTTACTGAGCAGCGGAGTTGCGAGAACATGGAAAGAAAGAACACATCTCCAACGTTTCCGACTACCGCCCGGGCAATAACGGAAACAGTCGATAGCAGAGTAGCAGACACTTGTTCACATCCATCACAGAAAGAAAATCGCGTCCAGAAAACAAATGTAAAATAGTACGAAAAATACAAACATTCTGTCTTTTTAGTCGCAACCATACATATTTGAGAAGTGAATAATTTTTAAAATTTATTTTCCCATGTATAAAAATCTACTTTATTTTGCTGGATATACAGCTCTCAAGCTGATTATGCACTACCACTAGTATATTGAAAATTGTTGAATTACTGTTCTTTAATTCTAACCTTAAAACAAAAAAATATAACTATGTTTAATATAACTATGTTTAACCATATATAATATGTTGATTCAAAAATCGAAAGAGTGATCGAAAGTAACTATGTTTACTACTTATAGTTCAATGATTAATCGAAAAAATCGAAATGTACCGCCACTGGCATGTTGAATTTGCCTGCGAACAGGATGTTGCGATTCTACGGTTTTGTCACTGATCTATATGTTGTACACTGAATAATCATTTCCGCATGGTGCACTGATTGGCCACGGAAGGTCACAAGTTAAAACAACTCGCATGTACAACGCGTAACCAATTTCAGTGCGCATGCGCAGGATCTTGCAAGCTTGCAAGCCAGTAAAGCCAGTCAGTGCAATAGGCATTTGTATTACGAAATGTACATTTTGATCACAAAATCGACTATTTTTCGGAAACAAAGAATTGGAATATCAAACTACTACAACTGCCTGCAGAGGCAATGTAAGCCTAAATTATTATTGTGGTTAGCATAGAAAGAAACGAATATTTAGGGAGAAATTTGATATAGAAGGCATAGAAGGTCAAGTGCAAACTGTAGTCAGGTAAAAGCTTATATAGCAATGAGCGAGGCCAAAGAATCAACTCATGATTCGCACCACACCCACATCACATTAAAACACAAAAGCAAATAGGCTAATAATCACATTATACTGAAATTCTTTTGTCAAATACCCATCATGTGTGCTGAAGTGAAACCTATTGCAATTAATTCACCTACATGGAAATTACCTATCAAGTGTTGTCATTTCCTGCTGTAATTAGTGAACCTTATCGCATGAAGTAGCGATTCAATAATAGCACTGAATACTAACCTATCCAGAAGTCCATCTCCATTGTATTTTGCGTCAGTGCTATTCGTCATGAATCGTCACTCAGCAAGTGCCCTAAACAGAGGCAGTCACCCCCCAGATGAAGTGCCATTTTGCGTATTTCCGACTGCCCCTGTTTAGGGCACTCGCTGAGTGACAAATCATGACGAATAGCACTTACGCAAAAAACAATAGAGATGGACTTCTGGATAGGTTAGTATTCTGTGATAATAGTGTGCTCGGAATAACCATAGAATACCCCGTCAACTGTACCTTACCCTAAACGTAATACTAACCCTAGCAATATAATACGTAATACTTGCGGGGTGTTCTATCGTTGTACCGTAAAATTTTGTCCCAATCTGAAGCGAACTGACGGAACCTTAGTCATTTTACCTTGCTTCGGCTATGGATACTAATTTTGAATATTGTGTATACTAATGTGTAATGCCCAATCTAGAATTGCTCATAAATGTTCTCAAAATCGAAAAATCTAACTTTGTCAATCGATGGGGAATGTCCCTTAGGACCATTGTGTGAATTTTTATAGCGTACTGATGCCAATCGACGCAGCCTTAGGGTTTACACTATGATACGACTGAAGTGGAAGTGAAAATGGAACAAGTGAAAGTTGGCCTCGGTATTCCCATGCTATGCATACGAAGTATTGTACATTATATCAACATATACTCGAGAATAGTTATCCAGCTAAACATGTATGTCAAAATTATCACATCTTCTGGTTTTAAATCAACAATTTTGATGGCTTTTGTGCAAGGACAGCTTCGGGTTCCGCTCTGTTTTGGCCGATGCTTGAAATTTCCCGGAAGTACACTTATTTACCGGATGTTGTAGTCTCCTCCGCAGGCTCTTCGACTATGTGCGCGGCTCGACACAAAATGGAGAAGGAAAAAAAAGAGCCGAATTTATGACCTCTGTGTTGTACCGACCCAAGGTAATAACAACTTGAACAAGAAGACGAACAATGGGGTCACGAAAACAGTTGAAATTGCGCCCAAATTTGCATAAACAGTTCGTCTAAAAAGACAACTTTAAACTAGATTCAACCAACATTAATGCTGTTGAATTTTGTGAGTGTTTGATCGCATATTTCTACTCAAAAATACCCTTTAAAACATCGTATCTGCTCACTTGAGTTCCGTGTTCATCTTTCTTGTGATTTCCGACTTCTATGTTTAATAAAGTTTGGAGAAATCCTCATCTTTTTGGCTGAAAATCTTGCATATGGTTCATAGAATAACTTGGCCCAAAACGTCAATATATTCGCTTTCCTTTCATGCCAAATTTTCGTTGTAGATCATTCAAAAGCCTCTTCTTTTTTCGCTTTTAAAACTTGCTGTGAAATCCTTCTTTGCAACAATATCACCATTATTCATTATTTTTGAAAAACTAAGGTTTTAAACTTGAAAAACTTTGCGAGTTTCTGACCGATTTTCTTGCATGATACACCGTTGAAAAGCTCGAATTTTGTGTTCTATTTTCGTATCCGTTGCTAGGCAACCCGATAAACATGTGCTCAAATATCATGCTACCCTCTTGCCAGTCTCAGGGCGCATCCGGGCGCATTTCCAGTTGACGAGTTAAATTAACGATCATGTGTGAATTTGTCTCAAGAATCCTGATACGTTTATTTTTTAGAATTTTAATACACATGCCCTAGAAAAAATTTCTGCATATTTTTACATGGCCCACCCTTATGATTGTACTTAACTTTCAATGACCCACCCCTTCAACCGTGCTAAAAAATGGTGACCCACCCCCTATTTTTCCCAGTCCACCCCCCC